GAGTGGTTCGAGTAGACTTCAAAATTTCATAAATGCAGTTCTATAATGATGTATACTACACATGAAATAAACCTAATGTTACGGATTTTTTATTATGATATGAAAGTTCCATAAACACCCGCGTAAAATAACATATCCTTGATGTGAAGCACCGACGCTTCGGGAAGTCTAATCCGATTCATCCTCGAAGGAATCCTCGCTTTGCTCTTGTGCCATGATGAAATCTCACGCCGAGCTACATGGCCCTCGTATTTTATTGAAATATAATTCATAAAAACTAAAACTAAGCGTTTGCATGATTGTTGACCACATCTACCTTTTATTTTATATGGGTAAATGCCTACGCAAACCCGCCTCGCGGGGGCAAGGTCAGGTTGGTGTGTGGTGTTCTACTTTCGCCGCATGTTGGCAGGGCCACGGGAACGCTTTTGCACACATGCGCAACCCCCTCCCCCCACCGCTGACCATCCCATGGCACCCCCTTCTCGGGGGAGGACTTCTCCCCACTTTCCTTTTTAGGCAAGGGGCATCAGGAACACAAGACATGCCTTCCTCCACGGCCTCCAACTCCACCTGCGTAATGGGCCCCCGCGAGTCCAATACGCGCAGTTCATGGGGCCAGGAAAATCGAGCGTTTGGTAGCACTCGCTTTCCCGACCCCAGCGGCGGATCTGGTCCTTGGCTTCGCTGCCAACCAAGTTTCGGCCGCGGACGCTAGGGAGAGCGGCGCTTCGCAATACCGACACGCGACCCCATCACCAACGCATCAACGGTGCGGCCCCGTCAGAATCGCGGAGGATAGGGCGAGTGGCGCATCGCCATACCAACATTCCTCTTCTCTCGCAACTCCACCTTGGCTGCAGCAGAGGAAAGGGCACCCCTCTCGCCGCAGCCCACCGACACACATCCGAAGTGGGCTGGCCAAGCCCACTCGGAGTGGCCACCTCAGGCCAGCCCTACACCACGGGCCAGCCAAGAGGTTCCTCTTTGATCACCGCGGGGACCAAGCCACGAATACTAAGCTTTTCCGCCGTGACAAGGCGGGAAGTGGTCTTGGGGGGGGGGGGGGGGGTTGACTATATTTACCTAGTAATTATACATCCAACGATGCCACGAACGAATTTTCAATTATTTACATCGTGTATTCAGTAGCATTCTATTATTTAATTTTATCAGAAACCATTTAGTTTATTTACAAGTATATGGCGCTATTATTAGATGAAATAATGAAAGCCAAATCTATACTATCTAGTAATATCAGAGATAGAAGCGAACATTTATTTATTACTAGCTGTTCCCCGCGACTTCGCTCGCGTGTTAGGGTTTTTATGTTTTTGCGCGGAACCCTAATTCTTTTTCTGAAAGAAAAGTAGCCTAAGTTACGCCTTATGAAATCAGCTATCTGCCAGTGAAAATCCCGTCAAAATCGGTCCAGCCTTTTCGGAGATTGGCCGGAACAAACAGACAGACAGACAGATGGACAGACAGACAGACAAAAAATTTTAAAATTGTACTTTAGTTATAAGTACCGTATTTACTTTCATATGCATTTAGTAAAAAACTGTAATTTTGACATTACAAACAGACACTTCAATTTTATTTATTTGTATAGATGTATAGATATCAATAAGGCATAAAGTGAATTTGACGGGTCCGTGGCGCAGTGGCTTAGCAATGAGTTGCGCTGGGGGCCGCGGGGTTGAATCCCGCACGGAACAAGTATTTATATCTACAAATAATTGTTCCGGGTCTGGATGTTTGTCTTTGTGAAATTTATGTATATAAACAGCCCCCACAGTTTTTAAAGAAAACAAAATAAAATTATTTTCAAATTTATGTAAGTACCTATAAATGTGTTAGTTATATTTACACTTAAATTAGTAATATTTACACTTAGGTGTATCCTATGTCGTTTGGTGGGTGTCTTAAGAGGCGACAGAGGGAAATTAAAACTGAAGACAGGCAGCAACACGGAGAAGAACACCTCAAAATAATTAAAAAACTGCGGTTGCCAACTCCTCCCCTATGAGGCAATCAATGGGAGAGCCTTATGATCAGAAGTGCTTTTATAGGCAGTAATGGAACGTTACGTGTAACAGTTGCATATTTTGAATGTTGTAAAATCTACTCAGACATATTCTAATGTGATTACATTATTTCTCAATATAATATCAAAAGAAAGAGAATAAAAGAACTAACATCTCTATTCAGCTGAGTATCGGTTAATCATTCATAATTGTACGATATATTTGTATTAAGCATAAATAACAACTATATTTCTACAACAACATCTTCTTCCAATCAGGCAACACTACATTAATATATTATAGTTATCGTTTTAAATTTAGATTTATGTAACTCTATTGGATTAAAAACATAAATCAAACAACATTCCCGCGAAACTCATTAATTTAAAAAAAATATTACAGCTTACATTATTATGAATATCTACACCACAATTGAATACTGTAGACTGTTGAAGTATTGGACAATTTTAACCAGGTCAACGATATTCGTTGCTTGGAAAATATTAAATAAGTCCCTACCGGGGAAGGAACAGGGCTTAGAAGAATAACGTGAAGACGTAATTACTTATTTTATGTATTTTTTTACGGTAAAGTATTTATGGTTGTAGGACCACTCTCTCACAGAATCATCATCATCATTACAGCCCTTCACAAGTCCACTGCTGAACAGAGGCCAACTGCATCCATCGACTAACTGCACGTCTTACCATGTCGTCACTCCATCTAGCGGGGGGACGCCCTACACTTCGCTTGCCGGTACGAGGCTGCCACTCGAGAACCTTTCTTCCCCATCGGTTGTCGTTTTTCGAGCTATAAGGCCGGCCCATTGCAAATTCAGCATACTAATTCTTTGGGTTATGTCGGTTACTCTGGTTCTACTGCGGATATCCTCGTTTTTAAGTCTATCACGCAGAGAAACCCCGAGCATAGCCCTCTCCCTAGCTCGTTGAGCGACTTTGAGCTTCCTTATACGGCCAGCAGTGAAGGATACCAGAATACCAGCGTAAAATAGCAGCAGCTTAATGCTGCTGTGTTTCGTACGGTGACTGTAGAGAACCGGAGACCCTTTTTACTGGAAACGAGATCCTAGTTCCATCCATCCATCTTAGTTCTCACAGTCACAGGTGACAACGCGGTGTAGATGTCTATGGGCCGCAGTATCCACAATGGATTGTGTGCTCGTATGTCACCCTTATTCTATATAAAAAGAACTAATATTGCACAATAAATGGTTTGAGGCATTTCATTTTTAGCCGACTTCGAAAAAAGGAGGTTGTGTATTCGACTGTGTGTTATTTTTTGTATTATGACTAGTTTTCTTCGTGAATAGTGACACGGTTTAAAATGTAAATGATTATTATTTTTATTAATTAAATAGATTATGGTTGAGACAAGAGGTGGTAAAATGGGGGATGAAGTTTTTAATCTAACTTAGAGGACATTCTAATGAGCTTGTGATATGCTTTAGTATTTACAAGGGGTCAAAAAATGAAACTTAAAAAATTGCAGCCGACTTTATAGAACTAAACAGAATTTAAAAAAAAACACATAATTACTTCTGAAGTTGGGGCTTAAATATATCTTTTTACCGACTTAAGAAGCTATTATGTTAAAATTATTTTATTCTCAGAGGATACATACGCTAATAGCTTCTTTATAAGACTTTTTCTTTTCTAAAAAATTTAATCTTAACTATCAGAGTTGGACCTACTGTTGGGAATGAGGGTAAAAAGATACAACGAAATACGAACAAATAAAGGTAGAATGGTAATCTCCGACTTGTTTTAGCAGTATAAAGTATCGCACAGGTGACTAAGAGACATGGTTGATAATAACCCCTGGGAATGAGGTGGTCGCTTCCAAGCAGTTTCTAAAATAAATTTTGTAAAGAGTTTGTAATTATTTATATTGTAAAATTTATTTTAAAAAGAAAGTCCCGCTGGATTTCTTGCTGGTTCTTCCCAGGACAGAGGGTATTTTTCGAACCAGTGGTAAAGTAAAAATGACACTATATTGAATTAAACTATATTGAATAAAAAATTATTGTATTCTATTCTATTCTATCAATCTGTAATTCTAAGAGTCCCACTGTCGTTACTATGCCCGTTGGGTATTCTACTAGTGTAGGCAAGGAAGGTCGTGTTGCTGAGAGGTTGCCCTGTGTACATTGAGACGGGTAGTGATGCTGTTGGTTTGCATACTTTGGTGTTATCATGTAATTGGGTCCTGGTAGTAAACAGGGCTTGTTACAGAGTACTGTTCTTTTATTTAAATACTTTTGAGAATAATTTCTAACATCAGATGTGGAATAGTTTCTTACACTACATGTTATATAATCACATTTACTTTTGAGGAATGACGACCAGTCATCAGTCAAAGAATATTTTTTATAGAACTTAAGGGAAACTAGTAAGTGACTACAATGCCATTAACAACTGCAACACCAGAGGAATTGCAGGCACCGTTGCTGGCCTTTTATAATCGAGTAGGCTTTTATCATTTACAAGTCCCTAAATCGTATCGGCCCGGAAAAATGGTACTTAGTTGGTACTTATTTTGGTTATTGTCTTTTCCAGCTGATGAAAATATGTCTATATGTCAAACGGTATAAGTTCATCAAGTTGATTTGTACGTGATAGAGCCATGCTGCAGCTATATTAGTAGTATAGTTGCAACACGAATGGGTTGGCTCGACCGGGGAAGGACCACGCTCTCACAGAATACCAGCATAAAATAGCAGCTCAACACTGCTGTGTTTCGTATGGTGAGTGTAGAGAACCGGAGACAATTTTTACTGGAAAAGAGGCATTCCATCTTAGTCCTCACGGTTGACAACGCATCTGCTTTTTATTTCGCAAACGAGGATAGATGTAGATGTTTATGGGCCACAGCAACCACTTACCAACAGATGGACTGTATGCTTCTTTGTCACCCCATCCTATAAAACAAAACAAAACAAAAACATCAAGTTACCATGGAGTTTTCATCAATAGAGTCCAAGCCCATAACAGTGACGTGGAAGTTCACGATGGTCGGCTGATCGTTGGTCTTCGGAGGGCGCATCTTGTCGTACAGCTTGGGATCTTCTGGTAGAAGATCTTGGAATGTGAGCAGGGTAGACCTGTAAAAACGAAAGTTGTTTAAAAGTCAAAATGGTTGTTTGCTTTAATTTTCGAATAAAAATCTAGCCTGGTCTTAAGCTAGTATTCAGATTTCTAGATTTTACTATATAAGGTCTGTATAAGGTTTAAACACGTGGTATAGTCATGCTGCTGCTATGTTATGGTTGTAGCACAAATGAGTCGGCTCAGCCGGGGAAGGACCACGCTCTCACAGAATACCAGCGTGAAATAGCAGCTTACTACTGCTGTGTTTCGTATGGTGCGAGTAGAGAACCGGAGTCGCCTTTATTGGAAACGAGGCATTTCATCTTAGTCCAAAGGGGTGACAACCCATCTGCATTTTGATCCTTAATTGAGGATAGAAGTATAAAGGCCACATCACATCATCCATATACAGTCATTCACTTACCGTCAGGTGGACTGTGTATATGTTTGTCACTGTTATTCTGTCAAAAAGCTTACTACCTTTAACCATAAGCACATGTAATAAATTACAATAGATAAAAAAGTAAAGTTCAGCCTATATACTAGTCCCGCAGCTGGGCACAGATTTTCTCTCAATTTTCTACCGACTTCAAAAAGGAGACGCTACTTCATTCTACTGTTTATTTTTTTTATGTGTGTTACCTCATAACTTTTTACTGGGTGAACGGATTTCGATAATTCTTTTTTCATTTGAAAGCTAATGCGTCACACGTGGTCCCATATAAATTTGATCAAGGTCTGATCAATAGTTTTTGAGTTATTCTTAATAATTTATATTGAAGTCGGTTGTACCATTTTTTTTTTAATTTAAATTATCGATTATGGAATTAATCTGTCGCACTGCTTCATTGCATGTTGTCGGACTTCACACGTCATGTTCTCAGACATATTAGTTTCCTCATTGCGTTATTCTTCACCGTCGAGCTCGTGGTAAATATGCACTTAAAATTTTAATTGACAATTTTTATGACGCCGATGGAGACGGAATCGAACCAGAGTTGTTTGTTCACTGTGAAATTATGGCGAGTGCTTAGGCCCCGAGCTATGACTGCTTTATTATTTAACTACATAAAATTGTCTTGGCTTAATTTGTCTACAGAATATATATATATAACTCGCCTTTTGTTGGGCCAGCTAATTGGTACAGTCTTGCATCTGAATAATCTTGCCTAGAAGATGTGTTTTTTATAGAACAAAGACGACAAGAAGTAGATGCTGTGGTCCTCAGACATCTACATCTATAAGAATCAAAATGTAGATGCGTTGTCACTCACCATAAGAAACACAGAAGGAGTAAGCTGCGATTCCACGCTGTTCTTTTGTGAAGTCCTTCTAGATCATAGATTATCAAACTTATTTCTTTTACCACCCCCTTTGAAAATCAATTATTTTTCAGCGCCCCCAATTTTGTATACACTCTTAAAACTTGAAAAGCACAATTTCATTACTTTAATTAATTTGGTTATAGTGTGCTATATTAGTCGGTTCTGGTGTTTAAATTTACATTCTAAACTAGACGACATTATTACCAGTGGATTTTAATAAGCGCGCAGGTATGTTCTGCTAGGGCCTAAAAATTAAGATTCCAACGTTTTGTCGCATGAAATCGTATCTAGCAATCATATAATATTCATATAAATGATATAAAAAGCACATTGTTAGAAAGATAAATGATTGTTGAACTTATTAATATTTTTTTAAATCGATTAATTGCTCTTTTTACATAAAAAAGAGTTTTTAGTAGCTTATGATGTGGATCAATCAAGGGCGCATGGCGGCGTAAACACGATAACTTTTGAAAATATCAATTGTTCAACTCAGTCTATAATTAATTTAAACGAAGCGCTTCAGTTTAAAATTATTTAAGTCTATTTATACCTAAATACGTCTTGGACTTTTGGAGTGACATGAATGATGATATGATGATCATACGAGCATTATGAGTCATGAACTTTTGGATTATCCAAACTTTTTTTTAAATTGAAGTTTGACATAAAAATATAGGAAATTTGGAAGTATGTATTTAAACTACTTTAAAAAAATTATACATTATGCTATGTTGACATTTGTAAAATTATCTAACACCCAGTCTGGTATTTCCAATTTCAAAATGTCCTGGAATGTTTGAATGTTATCACTGTGGAGATTTTTCAAATGTTGGTAGTAGACAAGCAAGTCGTGTGTGTGAAATATTAATCGGTTGAAAACTTCATCATTAGTAACACAAAGCTAATTAAATAATATGTCATTTAAAGAGTTAAATACTGCTCTGATGACATGTTGAAATGATTGAAACAGTCGTTCACTTAAATTTCTAGCAACCAAATGTTGTCGATGTATAACGCAATATATAGGTATAGCAAGCACAACTGCAATTCCTGTTATAACTAGAGCACCATCAGCTAATATGATATTCTTCAAAGGGAATTCCTGTTTCATGACAAATCTTTTCCAGTGTTTTAAATATGGTTTCTTCTTTTGTGTATGTCTCTAAATTTCTACAAAATAATAGTCTTGACATATTTTTTCATCTTTAATAAACCTTACGTAAGACAGCAACAATGCTTCATTAGTTGGTAAAGTGGACACAACCCGAAAAAGCCAAACATGAGCCGGATAGATGGCAACCCAAATTTTTATGTGTCCGGCCTGTCCGGCTTTTGTTAGGCTTTTTGTTAGTGTAACGCGTTGCACGCATTGCTTGCAGAATAAATAAATAAGTAACTTATACACTGAAACTGTGCTATGATTGATTAATAAACAATTAACGTATGTAACGGAGTATTTTAGTGTTTTTCTCGGGGGGTTGGAGTTGGTGAGTTTTTTGACTGCATGGCCTCAGAAAGGTATATTTGGCTAAAAATTACTGTCCGGCTTTTAGGGCCAAGCGTCTGGCTATTTGGAGCGCCGAGTCTGGATTTTTCATTTTAGGAGATGGCAACCCTAGCTGCAGCGTGGTTCTACCACGTGTTGTGATTGTTATCGAAACATCTAACATGATATCTTTCCTTCAATGATATCGCAGAAGCGGTACATAAATAATAATACATTGTCATAGAATGATGTTTAAGTTAAACCTTTTATCCCCACATGTTCCAGTTCCACTAACTGTAAAACGCCGTCACTAGCGCCTACTATTTTTCAACATGCAATGAAACTCAAAAGCAATGGCTTTTGCTATTGTACTTTTTTAAATGTCAGCAGTTTAAATTCATATTCCATTTCCATTCATAATACATACACTTAAAGAGTGGAAAGTGGAAATGGTATATAAATTTTAAGTTTAAAAAAGTGCAAGAAGGAAAAATTATGACAGGAGATGCCCATGATCAATAATAGACTTTTCGTACCGCAGAAGCCGATAAAAAAACATACAAATATAACACAGATTAATGTACAGAATGATAATCATCAGCCTTTATTCACGACTTTAAAAAAGAACGTTAAGTTGAAAAAAAGAAAGTTGTTTCTCGCGCGACCAACATCAAAAATGCATAATTAAGCAGGACTGCCATAACCTAATTTGTCGATACCGGACAGAAACTTAAAAAATCCGGACATTTGATTGAAATCGAGATTCCCCGCACTCATTGTTTTCATTTTAATATCTTTAACAATGCTTGACAAATTTTTTAGATATAAACTACTGCAAAACAAAATACAAAAAATACTTAGTTTTTCTTATTATTGAATTAAGGTAAAAACGGGCACACAGTTCACCTGATGGTAAGTGAATGCGATGGCCTATAAACATTCCTGAGGCCTAAAATGGGATACCTCGTTTCCAGAAAAAGTGTCTCCGGTTCTCTACACAGACCATACGAAACACAGCAGCGTTAAGCTGCTATTTTACGTTGGTATTCTGCGAGAGCGTGGTCTTACCCGATTGAGCCGACTCATTCGTGCTACAACTAGTCTTGCCAGGTCCAGTGTGTCAAATTTCAGGACGGAAGGTAAAAATAATCGGGAATTTACTTAATTTAATTATTTAATAATCGGGTCTTACGTGATAGAGCCATGCTGCAGCTATATTAGTAGTATAGTTGTAGCACGAATGGGTCGGCTCGACCGGGGAAGGACCACGCTCTCACAGAAAACCAGCGTAAAATAGCAGCTTAATGCTGCTGTGTTTCGTATGGTGAGTGTAGAGAACCGGAGACCCTTTTTACTGGCAAAGAGGCATTCCATCTTAGTCCTCACGGGTGACAACGCATCTGCATCTTGAGTCTATTCAGGATAGATGTAGATGTCTATGGGTCACAGTAACCACTTACCATCAGGTGGACTGTGTGCTCGTTTGTCACCATATGCTATAAAAAAAATTTGGTTTACAAATCGGAATAGAATAGAATAGAATAGAATATTTTTTATTCAATATACATTACATGTGTAATTCTTATTGAAAGTCATTTTTAACTTTACCACTGGTTCGAAAAAAACCCTCTGTCCTGGGAAGAACCAGCAAGAAACCCAGCGGGACATTTTTTTAAAATAAATTTTACAATATAAATGATTACGAACTATTTACAAAATTTATTTTAGAAACTGCTTGGAAGCGATCATTTCATTCCCAGGGGTTATTATCAACCATGTATTCATTTATACTATAATAACCCTTTTTATACAATTTCTGCTTAATAAAACATTTAAACTTGGTAATAGAGAGAACCTGTACACTTTCCGGGACCTTGTTGTAATAGCGTATACATTGCCCCAAGAATGAATTACTGACTCTGTGGAGTCGAGAAACTGGTATCACTAGCTTGTGTTTGTTCCTAGTGTTTACAGAATGTATATCACTTCTTTTACTAAAACTATCTTTGTTTTTGTGAACATACATTAAATTTTCGTAAATATACTGAGAGGCCAAAGTTAATATATTAATTTCTTTAAATTTATCTCTAAGAGACTCTCTCGGTTTTAGATTGTAAATAGCTCTAATGGCCCTCTTCTGTAAAACAAAAATAGTTTCTGAGTCAGCCGCATTTCCCCATAGCAAAATCCCATAAGACAT